CACGCACATAAACCGCCTCGCTGGCCTCCTTGTAAAGAATCCGCTCTGAGAGATCTAGAGGAAGGTTAATTAATCTTTTAAATGCTCTAAAACACAATAAAAAATGATTTTTTTAAGTCAATCCAAGTGTAAAACTGAAAGATAAAAAAACGATAGCAACTAGCAGGGCACGCCCACACAGTCAGCTGTTTACGTAAAAAAGCTTGAGGTGAGCTAGAAGTTACCGTTTTTACTCCGTTTTACCAACCAGAGTTGTTTACATTTCAGACCATTCATGCTCGAAAAGGGGTCAAAATCTAAAAATAATTGCGTATGAAGAACGTTGCAGCAAATATTTTCCTCTTGTGGAGAATCTTTGGTTAAAGCAAAGGTGGCCATGAGGTAATGGTTCTAAAAATAATCTCACAGCTACACACTAGCTAGGTCCAAATTCCTTTATCTCGTCACCCAAGCTCACAACAAACCACACACGCACATCCAAAATAAATCAAAATAAAATATTTGTAGTCGATTATAGTTGTTTATTTTTATCTTAAGTGAAGCAGAAAACATTAAACTTTCATTATATCCAAAACACAAAAATTTCGTTAAAAGTCACTTTTGTGCCTTTCGAGCCTGGTAGCTGACAATAGCACAGTGCGTCTTACGACTGATATTGAGCGGAGCAGACAGATATAGATTATCTTACCTAATATTAAGAACATTGTTATTTCATCTTTAATTATCAAAATGACAACCTTTTCCTCTTAAAGTAAAATCTATTTTTCTTGGAAATATTCTTTACAAAAAGGCTTATTTTTCTTCTGTAGTTTAAAAAAAAATTATTTTTCCTCTTTCTTTAAAAATGTTTTCATAAACACTGCTCGGTATTTCGAACTCATTTTCAGATACACAAATATGTTCACACTGGAGTTGATAGTTTCTGTTAGAAATGCTGAAGACCATATGACAAGATAGAGATTTTTATAGAAGCCATCAATTCGGAAATCTATGTCAAATAACATGTAGAAAAACAGGAGCGTGGGAGGTACGGCGCAGACGATGAAAATGACAGCGATGAAGGTCACCATTTTCACAACCTTTTGATCTTTGACCCCAACACCTCCCGCCACACGATCAGACTTGGCTGCAGTGGTCTGACGCCATTTTGTTTTACTGTTGAGTTTGACGATAAGAACGATGGTACAGCAGATGACGAAGACGAAAGAAAACGTCGTTGTTAATACCCCTAAGGCAAGAAACGAAATGGCTTCTAACATTTCTTTCTCGGGCGTGTACGTGGTTTTTAGCATAGTGGAATTCATGCTGTAATCGAAAACCCACTCAAGTCTGTTTCCAAGGCAGAAGGGAATCATTAAAAGGGACAATGTAATGTAGGTAGAGACAATAATTGTCTTTGTCCTTCCAGGTGTGATTGTCGTCTTTACCTTCAGAGGGATAGCGATACAAAGACATCGTTCGAATGTGATGAAGGCGGTGATAAACGTGGCAATTTTGACAAAGAGGAAATGGGGCATGACCCCCGTGAGGTACAGGATATCCCTGGGGTCAAAGGGCAACTTAGAAAGGTAAAAGAGTGGGTTCACGCAGATACATATCCATATCATGGACAGTAAGGAGCACAGGTCAGACACAGCGAGCCCTGAAAAGATATACAGTTTAAGGAGTAGAAAAAATGCAATACATAATCAAGTGTGTGTGTTTGTGTGTGTGTGTGTGTGTGTGTGTGTGTGTGTGTGAGTGTGTGTGTGTGTGTGTGTGTGTGTGTGTGTGTGTGTGTGTGTGTGTGTGAGTGTGTGTGCATATTTTCGCCATACACTTTAAGACCTGTGCATTCCCTGCGAGATGAATAAAGATTGTCATTATCATTGTCATTATCATTGTCATTGTCATTGTCATTGTCATTGTCATTCTCCTATATTTCTAAGAACTGTTTCACTGTACGTGTTGAAAAGGTCTGGTGACATAACACATCCTTGCCTCATTCTTCTTCCAATCTGCTTATATTTGCTGTACCCTCCCTCAATTATAACAACATCATTTTGATCCCAGTGCAATTTCCTAATAACTCTTATATCTTTTTCCATTTACTTTTAGTTCTCCAAAATGTATAATACCTCATCAAACGCCTTTGGATAAACTATGAAGAATAAGTATGGGTCTTTTTCTGACGCTATACATCTTTCCTTTAGCTATGGTTAATATAGCATTTCGGATGCCTTTGTCAGGAACAAAGCCAAACTGTGTTTTAGATGTCTCTGATCTTATCCTATTTCTCAGTCTTCCCGGGTGGTGTCGATCGCTTAGTGGTTAGGCTACCGGACTCGTAATCGAGAGATTGCTGGTTCTGGGGTTCGAGCATCAGCTCGGTCCGACGTAGTGTCCTTGGGAAAGACATTTTACACGAATGTCCCACTTGGCTCGGTACTTTCGGAGATGGACGTTAAACTATGAGGCCTAGCCTCTTCAATAACCTAATAGTGTTGATTAGGGGGGTATACTAAACCGATACCATTTCTACATACCATTTCAGCATTCCCATTATTACTAGCAGCAAGGATTTTGTAAAATGATTATTATGGTGTATTGCCCTATGCACCTCACATTCAGTGACACCTGCGTTTTATTGATCTATAAATTTTCAAAATGTTTCTGCCGAGGGGCTCAAATATTATTTTTTTTATATGGATTTTTGGTCACTGGACTCTAAAAAGAGCCGTGAAATTTGACAATTAGGTCTACTTTACAAGATATTCAGGGTTTTATAACTTATTACTAATAAAGAAGGGCTAGAGTGGCAGTTACTTCCCACTTATTTGACTTAATGTTTCTTCGTTTACCTTTTGTATTCAACTGTGGTACATTTCATGTAATTAACGAAAAATCCCCTGCTTACATATTATAACTCTATCTGCCCTGATGTTGCTTTCCTCTGCGGCAACGTCTTTGTGAAAATGTTCTCTATGTTTAGCACTCACAGTACCATATGTGAGGCAGCGTGGTGGAATCAGGCATTCGTCAAAATAATCAAAGTGTAGAAACTTGCATTTTCTCGCAGGTTTATGAATTTTTATCAAATTTTTGTTTTTGGGTTCATCATCTTACATGCCCATTAAAGAACTCATTTCTGTGTTGATTTTTCTGAAAAACGTTGATTTAAGGTTCAAAAATGTAAATTTTCAGTTACCACGGACTCTTAAGCTAAGGGAATAACTAATCTTTGGCTTCCCAAAACAGGTGACCCCCACCTCCTTCATTCTCAACTATCTTGACTTGTATTTAAGATAAATATATATTTTTGTCGTCCAAATAAAGACAAGTGAACCAGCTTTAAGATGATACCAATAACTGATGCCCAAAAATTGACGAGAGCCTGATGCCACCACGCTGCCTCACATATTATTTATAAGACTGTCCACATGCCACCAGGTTGCCATTTATTGTGGAAAAAATGGCCGTGAGTCATTGTACCGATTTCTAAATGCGCTCACTCTGACATCCTAGCGAGCAAATTCCATTTTGGTGAAACCGTGAACCCAACTATCCAGCTTTGCGTTTTGTCACCTCTAAGTCTCTTACAAGGTCGTTCAGTTTATTTTACATGATCATATCGCGGTATTCTTACTCAAAACATTGATTGCTTATCAGGATCATTTGATATTGAAGCTTCCGGCTTTTCATCGACGGTATCTTTTTCTCCCTTCTTTCAATTCAGTAATTGTTTCAGGCTCGACAGAGATCGGGAAACTTTCGCTGCGCGGTACTGGGTGTCGGAATACCATGATAATTAACGAGACTCAACCTGGTTTTTGTTTAGCTCTCTGGATTTTTCTTACTTCATTTTCATTCCTGCAGCATGTACTTCTACTTTTCCATGATCGTTCAGTGGTTTCTCTTTGCCTATTGCTGGTTTGTGTACAGTTTTCTCTGCTAGCTTTTGTCACCCGTAGATACCCCCACAAAGCAGCAGGAGCTTTCGTAGGAGTTATGTACTTCCCATCACATGGATGGTCTCTTCTTTGAGTATATGGGGTATTTTTGAAGTACCTGTGCCACCAGGGTTCTCCTCTACTCTCCACGACCATTTCCCATTTGTTGTGCCACTGTTTAGCAGATTACCCCCCCCCCCCTCCCTATATCTGGAGGCCTTCCCCCATCTACCACCCGGGGATGCTCTTCAAGTACGAGGACCAAACACTACTTTAGTAAATACGATCTTCTACCTTTATCGCTTTAGGACATTAATTGATCCCCAAATGTGTTGTAGTCACCACATCGTTCCTGCTTTGATTAATGTTCAGGTTGGCCATTAGAGACAGCAAAAGAACTGGTCGCCTTCTAAATTATCAAAATTGTGACGCTGAAGGCCTAAAGTATCTACCATTACATTTTTTTAGAGCTTTTGAATATAATGGGTATGTTGTCCCTTAGTTCATTAAAGTTAATAGTTTTTGGTAAGGAAAGATGAAAGAAATTGTCGTCAGAAGTTGAGAAATGGAAAGTATCTAGATCTGCTGTACAACGGGTTTTTTCCCTTAGACTTTGAAAAAAAATTTTCATTTGTGTTTTGCCAATTTTGCTTTTCAAAAAAGTTATGTTTTGAATTCTCGATTTGAGTCGCACATTGTCATATTGTTATATTTCAAACCAAAAGCGCCTCTTAAATTCTCGGATTTCTTTATAACTTGGGAAAATCCCGAAAACACAGGGGGGGGGGGGATGTCTTTCTCCTGAACTTAAAAGAGTTCTGGGGCTAGAGCAAACGTACAGCTTGCTGACGGAACTGTAAATGTGCTGGGCGCTATATGTCAACACTGTTTCTATTATGTCCACTTCACGTATGTGTGTTATGTTCTATTCCATGATCGTTTGATAGACACATTAGTTGTAACGGTTGATTTGGTTATTTGTTCGTAACTGTCGATGTGATAATTACCATCTCACCCATGAGGCTGATGTTCATGCTGTCCTGAAAGCCTTGCTTGGCAAACACCACAATGTTGATGATGTTGGAGGCCACACCGAACAGACTGAGGAGACCAGAGATGACCACCACGTTGACCACTTGGACAATGAACCACTGCTGGTCGCTTACGATATTTGCATAATATAAACCAGAAGGTGATGGTGTTGTCAGTGGCAAGCTCAGGCTGTCATCGCGAGAGTAAGTTGAGTTGTTTCCCCATGTATGGGAAATCGACATTCTGGGTGGGAGAGACGTGTGGGACATCGACACCACAGTTACTTTAGCGCCAGGCTCCTCTCCTATTTCAGGCACAGAACTTGATTTATACGCTCAGTACAAAGGAAACCAGGACTTAATCAACGATAAATAATGATCATTTAACAATGTTGTTTCTTTGAATTCTTGCAGTGTACTCTGTCATTATAACAGCAATTTTCAAAAAATTAAAAATGATGATTATATTATCTAGATTGTATTACCAGTAGACATGTGTGCTAATTCGTCATTAAGCTGTGTTATATAATTACATTTAAAGAGGCTGGCCATTGATCCCTATTAGTTTGTTGGGTTTGCTCAGTTATCCGGATCATCAGTGCTGAGAGTCTATTATAACCATTATTTAACTATTAGTATTTGAGGAAACATTCTGTACAGGATCATAAAGTTCCAATTAATGTCACAGTCATTGTAGAGACAATCATCAACTCGATAATTAGTGCCTTCGTTAGACCGTTTCAAAATGAAGATCTTTGTTTCGTCTGGCTTCGTCCCCGTGTGGTTATTACCACAACTGATTTTTTTCCTTATGAAGCTTATCATAGATCGACCGTCCGGAAACTGCAGACAGGTGTGCTAAGTATTTTGTCAGCGAATTATAAATCGATCCACAGGGATCTTGAGAAACAGCGCATGTTTGATCATGGTATGAGCTGCTCGTTTTATCCTTATAATTATTCCTTGCCTAGGATCAAAGACTCGTGTATAAACCAGAATTTAAAATATCGTTTGTTCTTTTGGGGCCAAATCTGTTGAGACAACCGACCCGCGTATTGTGTCAAAACGCCAAACTTGTAGGTTTAAACAGAATTGAAGTTACAACACTCCAACATGATATTTTGGTAAAATAATATTGTTTTATTTGATAGTTCTTTATAGGAAAAGCCTGTATAGGCTTTATACGGGAGTGGAGTTTTGAAGCCTACCAAAACCCAGCTATTTTGTCCACGACCATTCGGCACTTAATACCAAAGCACTTCATGGACATACAGAAAATCTTGAATGTGATTTTCTTCAGACTTTGAAATTTTAAAAAAAGATTATGTTTGCAACTCAGACACAAAAAGGCCAGAGAATGACTTAAAATTACTTGGATTTCATTACAAGACATTTGCCAAACACAGAACATTATTTCCTAGTAACAACTCAAACAATGATCCAGACGCCAGTGTTCCATTTTCTATACTCACAAAGATAAGAACGGACCATCAACCTGAGTTTACAAAAACGTTTTATGTCCAATGCCCGTATCCTTCTGTCGATGTCAGCTGTTATGGTCCACGTTTCACATGCTACAAAATATGGACATGACCAGGGAATGCGTCAGCCTGATCTAGGATCTGATGCTGATTGATGTTCTTGTAGTTCCAAAATGACGTTTGATTTGGTTCCTGAAACTGTGGTCTGAGCTATCCCGGAGAGTACTTGCTGTTAGGATCCTTCATCCGATATTAGGTTCTCAAATATTTAAAGCGACGTGCGGGCTCCAGTATGGTTGCTGTTTGTTTGGGGGGGTTTGTTTCGTTTTATTTTATTTTCGTTTGAGGTATGGTAATGTCAGTGCAGATGCTACTAGTGCTATTTGTCATGAACTGAATCTTTTCTTCACTGATATGTAAACCATATGTCGTGGAGGTCTCTTCATGGTGGTTAATTAAGTTGACCAACTCTTGCTCTAGTCCAGAGTGGCTGTCCGTGCCATTGGAAAAATGTAAGTACAATTCAAAAGTTGTAAAACAAAACGCGCTGGCAGAGCCGACATTGGCTTCAAAGTGAAGGAAGCTCCGATAACAAATATCCGGTCTAGATTACGTTGAAAAGTGCCCCCAAAATGCCATCAATCTTTCAATCAAAGTGAAGGATAATAAATTATGTATGTTCAAAACACTGGAAGAGTTGAGATATAAACATGCAGAGATAATTCATTTCCTCGTGTGTATCCAAAACTATGTCTGAGCAACAGAACACCAGTGTGACGCGCCGACTTTACCCGGAGAGCAGCAAGACTTCTGTGACAAAATATTTAAAGCAACGTGCAGGCTCTACCATGGTTTCTGTTTGTTGTTTTTTTCGTTTTTGTTGTTGTTGTTGTTGTTGTTGTTGTTGTTGTTGTTGTTGTTGTTTGGGGTATGGTAATGTCAGTGCTGATGCTGATGTGCCGATGGCGCTCATATGACCTTATGTAGTTGCGAGCGCCGTAAAACCTCTACTAAAACTAACTAGCTGAGGTACCGACTTTACCCATACAAGCAAATAATTCAACAAAGAATTCAGTCGTGTATTCCTTTCTTTTAAAAAAAGACTAATGTCAGAAATGTTTTAAGTTTAAAGCTACTCCCAATTTTCCACGGAAGCGGCAGGTCAAAAAGCACATGTACCGAGAAAGGAAAAGTCTGTAGAGCAACTGACCCCATTGTAATTTCTCCATGCTTTGACTAGCAAAAAAGCCTACAAAGTCTGCATTGAGAAGCATCCAGTTTGTATTACAAGCATAAACTGTCAGTTTACGTTTTACAAAATGGACTCCCCAGAATGTCACCAGAATGTCCCAGAATGTCCCAGAATGTCCCAGAATGTCCCAGAATGTCACCAGAATGTCCCAGAATGTCCCAGAATGTACTGTGCGCCATGTGGCGCACTTTTTGGCTTCTCGTTGATCAAACCAGGGGACTTCATGTTTGAGACATTACATAAAAATACTTGCAGAACAAGAGAAAAATCATTTGTGAGGCAGCGTGGTGGAATCAGGCTCTCGTTAATATTTGGGCACGTAGAGTTACTGGTATCATATTAAAGCTTGTTCACTTGTCTTTATTTAGATGAAAAAAATATCCATTTATCTTGAATACAAGTCGAGATATTAGCGAAAGAAGGAGGTGGTGGTCACTTGTTTTCAGAGTCAAAATTAATGAGAAAATGGCCGCCAAAGATTAGTTATTTCTTTAGCTTAAGAGTCCGTGGTAACTGAAAATTTACATTTTTTGTGCCTTTAATCAACGTTTTTCAGAAAAATCCACACAGAAATGAGTTCTTTAATGGACATAAAAGGTGTTGAGTCAAAAAACAAAAATGTGATAAAAATTCACATACCTGCAGAAAAATGCAAGTTTCTTCACTTTGATTATTTTGACGAGAGCCTAATTCCACCACGCTACCTCACATTTCATTTTATATCTCACAGTTGTGCCGGCCAAAATGTAAATAGATTTGTGGCTTCTATGTTTTGGCTCTGTCTCAAAACTATGTAAAGAAAAAAGATTCGGGGAAATTGGCAAAACTCAGAACGAGAACAAATCCGTTCATTCTGTTATCGTTCATGCTGCCATGAGAATCATTGTGAGCACAAAAGACTAGAAGGCTACTACTCTGCGTGGGGCTCAGGGAAGTGAAAGTCGTTTAGCTGTCATTGAAATGTGTGCGCCGGACTTCTTTCACTTCAAGATAGTTTCTACACAAACGAAGAATTTAGATTTTGACAAAAACGGTCTTGAAAATCAAGTTATGGAGATAACAAAGCTCCCTCATATTTTAGTGATCTCATCCAGATTCATGTTCCATCTAGATCACCAACATCAGGCGATTAGTATCTTTTAAGAGTTCCTAGAAATGGGGGTAAAAAAATTAGCTGAAAGATCGTTTGACCAGCTTGCTCTATCAGTTTGAAACTCTTTTCCCCAACCCTTGAGACATACAATATATGAGTCTAAATTTAAAATGTCTTTAAAGACACGTTTAGTAACATCATTTTTGTGTCAGTAGATTCATGTTCAGTACAATGTTATGTAAATGATTATGTATCCATTTATGTATTTTGCGAATTGCATTGTGTAAATTATTTTATTATGTATTTAATTTGTATGTGTTTATTTCGTAACGATCTGTAAGTGTGCGCGTGTGATAAGCAAGTAGATGTGTGTGTGTGTGTGTGTATGTGTGTGTGTATGTGTGTGTGTTTGTATGTGTGTGTGTATTTGGCGTGTATGTATAT